GTTATATGTGTATATATATATATATAATATATATATATTTTATATATTATATATATTTTTCAGATTCTTTTCCATTATATGCTATTATAATAAATTGAATATGGTTCCCTGTGCTATACGATAGGTCCTTGTCATTTATCTGTTTTACATATAGTAGCGTGTATCCATTCTTTTCCCTTCATCTAGAATACTAAACTGTGTCAAAGCCTCCCCACATAGCTCAGAATTTTCCTAGACACTTGAGAATGCTCATGTTGTGACTCTCTTTTTTGTGATATTTCCTTTGTTGCCTTGGTCCAGAATATCTTTGAGGGATACATATAATCAATTACTAATAACTCAGGTAAAATGAGGACAGAGTACTGATTTAACAATGTGGAAGGCATAAGTGGTGATAATAAGAATTATTTGTGGGGAGGATTGGGGGAGCAAAAATCTAGGCTGAATGGATTCAGGATAAATTGAAAGCAGGATAATTTTTGATAATAGGCATTTTGTCTTTCAAGGAAATTTGCTATAAAGAGAAACAGAAAATTGGGACCGTATCTGGAGAAGGATGTGAGGTCAAGGGAGAGATATTGGAGATATTAGATTATATTTGTTCTACCTTAAAGCACTTTTCCTGACTGCAAATAAAAATCAAATGAGCTTGTGGGTCACATCTGTAACGTAACTTCGGCTGTTTTCTTTAGTTCTCTGTCTCAAAATTAGAAGCACCCCACGGAAGCTAGCGTTCTCCTCTCCTGGTGGTGTTGTTTCTAATGCTTTTTTCTCACCCATATTCTACATCTGTCTCCTGCTTTTACTGGAACTGTTAATATATCTTTTTTTTTTGATTGAAGTATAGTCAGTTATAACGTGTCAATTTCTGGTGTACAGGACAATGTCCCAGTCATGAACATACATACATATATTTATTTGCATATTCTTTTTCATTAAAGGTTATTACAAAATGTTGAATATAGTTCCCTGTGCTGTACAGAAGACATTTGTTTTTTAAATTTATGTTTATATATAGTGGCTAACATTTGCAAATCTCAAACTCCCAAATTTATTCCTTCCAACCCCTTTCCCCAGTAACCATAAGATTGTTGACTATGTCTGTGAGTCTGTTTC